CCTCCAAACAATTTTGAGTTTTGTACCACTTTGTTCTCCCTCTTTATGTAGGATCTCCTACATCATTCCCATGAACTTATAGGCCCATTGTCTGCCAACCCTATATATGATCTTGGATACACTCTCCATTTAGACACACCCAATTGTTCAGCCTGTTCACCCATCTATCCGTCCCTATACCCATGTTTGCTTTCACTGACAGATAGTTGGTCTTTTAACTGGTGAGTTGGTCTTATTTACAGTAAGTACATGTATTGATGAATGCTGATACATTGATAAATATTCATTTTTATTTTGTGCTTTCTATTTACCTTGCATTTCCTGTGTTACTTATTTAATTTCATTTTACTTTTATGCTAAAGTATATCAGTTTGGGTAGATGGTTGTAGGAGGTTGTATTGCTGTCTGTTGCTGGTCCATCATATGTGGAATTGAATCTTCTAAATGAATCAGGAATTTGTGTGGGAAAGGAAAATGCTTGAACTGCAAGCATCTTACCGTTTCTCTCTTCACTGCCACATGCCTTCTCTTTGATGCCTTGGTTCCCTGCAGCCTGATTGCTGTCACGTCTCCATTGTAACTCATTTTGTTATGATCCCTGTTGACCTTACTGTCAAATCTGATAGAAGTGACTTAATTCTCATTGTAGAAAATTCACCTAAAAGTTCCTGGGGGTTCAGTTACACCAGGGCGTCCTGGTTTTCTCTCTCTGACCCTTGGCCAGCTTCGTCTCAGTTTCCCGTTAGTGCTTCTTTGGCTCCTTTTCTGCATGATGCATTCTTTCCGATTCTGTCCTTGGCTTTGTAAAAATCATTCTCTATAGCAGCGGTAGGAATAGTAAACCATCTCCATGGCTTCGCTGTGTACCTCTCGTTAACACTTTTAGTTAGTTATTTTTGCATAACTCCCTGGTGTTATTGTTCACTTTTTTTTTTGAAATAACTTTTTATTGTGATTTGGGTGAAGCTTTACAGAGCAAATTGATTTTCTGTTCCACAATTCATACACGTTTTGTTTTGCCACATTGATTGCACAGCTCCCTACCCACCTTCTCCCTGTGTTTATCATTTCCTTTTGTCCTTCTTTGCTGTCCTTTCCTGCCTTCTGAGCTTTATCCCTGGGCAAGTGCTGCCCCTGGGATCTATTTTGGTTGATTGTTCTAAGGAGCGTGTGCTTCCCTGGTGGTACTGCTCGCCATTAAGCCTGTCTATTGTTTGGCTGAAAGTTGAGCCATGGAGGTGAGTTCAGCTCCAGACATGAAGGGTGTCCAAGGGCCATAGTCTCAG